TAAACATAATCAATTATAAGATATACATTTCATTTTAAATATAAGAAATCTAAAATATAATTAGAATAATCATTAAGTTATACTTATTAAAGAATATTTAATTATCATCCTTATAAAAATTATATTATTAAACAAAAAATAAATTACTTTGTTATTAAACCTAAATTAAATTATAATAAAAAAATTGAATTAAAGAAATTACATAAAAAAAATTCAATAGTTAATTTGATATTAAAATCGATATATATTTTTTTCCAGATTTTTATGAATTAAAACATTATTGCTTTCTCAAAAATCACATAAAACCATATTATATCGATAAAAACAAAAAAATAAAACGAAATCTCGATATATCTCGCTGCATTGCACGAGTATCTTTCTAGTATTATATAATTAACTTTCTCTAAAGTATACAATAAATTCATAAAACAAGATGTTCTTAATAATGTAAGGAACATAATTGTAGTTACGATAGAAATATCCCTTAATTTAATTTTAACAATTACTCTCTATATTAATTTAAAGATGAGTATGATTAAATAAGTTTAAGAAGTTATAATTAGTGTTATACAAATAACAATTAACATGTTCAACCCATTCATACATTAAGCTCTCAATCTAAACTACTAAACTGTTAATTAATAGGGTTGAAATTGAGTTAAGTCTAATTTAACCTTATATTATTTTCTTTAGAATATATATATATATATATATTAATATGAATATTCAACCCGCTATAAGAGCCGACTAATTCCAGGACGATCACATGCTTTGCAGATAATCCGAATCATCGAATTTGAACCTCCGTAACTATAAAAGAATTTTTATTCCTTCTTAAATTTGAATTTTGGATCTCTTGATATTTTTAACTTTAAAATTAGAGAATATATTGTTGGTGTGACAAGTGTCAGAAATATTCATATGCTAACATTATTTTATTAGTTGGTATGTAATTAAAGAATTTCCACCCACAAATAATTATATTTAGTGGTTTCTTATAACCTAACCACCCAACAATGCATCCACTCAATTGTTAATTTACTACTTATTCTAAGTATTGGCATACAACCTAATTAAATATTCTCTGTCTTCATAAATTAAGCACCACCCATGTTTTATTTGGCAAATATTAATGTACCTTTTCATTTATGATATGGTTCAAATTTTATTTTTTAAATTAAATTTTAATAAAAAAACATAAACTTTTAAATAGTTA